TCCTGAGTGCGGACATTCCGAGACCTCACTTCCTAGGAGGTGGCCAAGGGCCGGTGGTGACGCAGGCCTTCTTGGGGATGTGCAGTTTGAGCAGCTCATGCAGGGTCGTTACCCCTTCCCTGCTCACCCTTCTCTGTCCTTCCTTCCTTCTCATGGGAAAATGCTCCATAGATTTTATCAGCACTCAGCACACTTCGTATTGTGGTCAGCTGCTTTGTTCACTCTCCACTATTTTCCTTTTCCCTGTTACGATGCTCCTCTGGGTTGTGAGTCTATGTGAAAACAAGTTCACACTTGCCTTCTCAATAATATGACAGAAACCCCACCTTTTCCACTCGATTCTTAAACGTTCTTTCTCACGACTTTTTCCTGTTTACTTCAGAAATGCTGAGAGATCCCGAAAGTAAAGCGTTGATCCCAACACGTCGCATTTTTGAGGGAGACCAGTCCCATAGCATGAAGTTGGAACGATTCCTGTGGGACGATCCTTGGTTCTCCAGGTTAGAAATTTTGGGATGTGACGACCAGTTACAAATGTACCGTGTGAACCAGAGTACAGCGATGAGGCAGATGGTCTTCATGCAGAAGCAAGTGCTGTCTCAAAGAGGCTCTGAATTCTGTGACCTTGGAGCGGGGCGTGGCCAGAGCTTAAACTTTATTCCCTCTCAGAGAGTTTCTCAAATAGAACATTTCTATAAGCCTGATGCACATGTTGAAAGTTGGAGGTGTAAGTCAGCCATCATGTATGCAGATAAGATTACCTGTGAAAATAATGATTATGACACAGCCTTGTACCCGTCCATGCCACCTATTCACCCTGCAAGGATGCAGACTGGAGATAATCTTTTCAGATGTTCTGATGCTGTTAAATCTTTCAATCATGTACTACATTTTGGTGATCATAAGGGAATGCACACAGGAGGAAAACTCTATGAGTATAAGGAATGCCATCAAATCTTTAACCAGAGCCCATCCTTTATTGAACACCCAAGACCTCTTATCGGAGAAAACCAGTATGGTTATAAAGAATATGAGAATATCTTTTACTTCTCGTCCTTTATGGAGCGTCAAAATATGGGCACTGTAGAGAAAGCCTATAAGTACAATGAGTGGGAGAAAGTCTTTGGGTATGACTCCTTCCTCACTCAACATACAAGCACTTACACCGCAGAGAAACCCTACGAATACAACGAATGTGGGACATCTTTCATCTGGAGCTCTTACCTTATCCAACACAAGAAAACTCATACTGGAGAGAAGCCCTACGAATGTGATAAGTGTGGGAAAGTTTTCAGGAATCGTTCAGCCCTCACCAAGCATGAACGGACTCACACTGGAATAAAACCCTATGAATGTAATAAATGTGGGAAGGCCTTCAGCTGGAACTCCCATCTGATTGTGCACACGAGGATTCACACGGGAGAGAAACCTTACGTATGTAATGAGTGTGGGAAGTCTTTCAACTGGAACTCCCATCTGATCGGCCATCAGAGGACTCACACCGGAGAAAAGCCGTTCGAATGCACGGAGTGTGGGAAGTCTTTCAGCTGGAGCTCCCATCTGATTGCCCACATGCGGATGCATACTGGAGAGAAGCCCTTTAAATGTGATGAATGCGAAAAAGCCTTTAGGGATTACTCAGCTCTCAGTAAACATGAAAGAACTCACTCCGGAGCAAAGCCATACAAATGCACTGAGTGTGGAAAGTCCTTCAGCTGGAGTTCCCACCTCATCGCCCACCAGAGGACTCACACGGGGGAGAAACCCTATAACTGTCAGGAATGCGGCAAAGCCTTCAGAGAACGCTCGGCCCTCACGAAACATGAGATCATTCATTCTGGAATTAAGCCCTACGAATGTAATAAATGTGGAAAATCCTGTAGCCAAATGGCTCACCTGGTTCGACATCAAAGGACTCACACTGGAGAAAAGCCCTACGAGTGCAATAAATGTGGGAAGTCCTTCAGCCAGAGCTGTCACCTTGTTGCTCACCGGAGAATTCACACGGGCGAGAAGCCCTATAAGTGCAATCAGTGTGAACGGTCCTTCAACTGCAGCTCTCACCTGATTGCGCACCGGAGAACTCACACCGGAGAGAAGCCGTACAGGTGTAACGAATGTGGGAAGGCGTTTAATGAGAGCTCTTCCCTCATTGTCCACCTGAGAAACCATACTGGAGAGAAGCCCTACAAATGCAACCACTGTGAGAAGGCTTTCTGTAAGAATTCTTCTCTCATTATTCATCAGAGAATGCACAGCGGGGAGAAACGCTTTATATGCAACGACTGCGGAAAGTCCTACAGTGGCCACTCGGCCCTGCTGCAGCACCAGAGGAGCCACGGCACAGAGAAAGTCTGAACTGAACTGATGGAGACTTCCTTTCCTTGTGCATGTGATCCTTTGAGAAAAACACTATAAGTATAATCAGGAGGGGTTGTTCACTAGTGAGCGTTCAGGGAGGCTCTTCCCCTTACTGCTCAATAGAAACATCTAGAAACGTATGAATGAAAATGATAGAGGAAGCGTAGCGGTTATGTAGCCCTTATTTAACGTCAGATAATTACAGTGAAGAAGGAAAGCCCCTCTCCTCACGGTCCACCAGGGTCTTGCTTGAGGAACGTGAATGTAGGGGTGAGACACCTTTAGTAAGAGATCTCAAGGGTTTGTGGACCCGAGTGCATTGATGGAGGAGAAAAACCTTGTGGTGGGAAGTGTTTCAGCTGGAAATACGCTGTTTTGCATCGAGCTGGAGCATTGGGTGGGAAGCTTTATAATAACATTCTGTGCATAATTGTGAAAATACTGATTTTGCTGTTATCAGGGGGAGGGTCTGGGTGCCCTTTAAGGAATAGACTATGGAATACTAAGTTTGAGGTTAAGAAAAAAAATAGCATTGAATGGGATATGTACTGTTAGTCGAGATTAACCTTAGAAAAATTAGTAAATGAGATTACTAATGGTGGAAAAGTTATTTTCTAGAAGTATGAGGCTGATGTTGTTGGGACAAAAAGTGACATTTAATATCACTGTGTCCATGTCCATGGTTTACTCATTGTTGGATGTTTGTAATTTGTTTTAGGCAATCACTACAAGTTATAATTATAGACACTGCATCAGAGCACATACCCTGAAGGAATAACAAGGACACAGAGTTGTGTATCCATGTCTTCTATAACATCTAAAAGTGTGTCTGGATAAGGACTGGAAAGACCCATGGATAAATTAACCCAGTTAATTTTTTAAAATCATAAAGTTTTATAAACACGTACAGCACTTACCACGTGCTAAGCTTTGTTTTAGCTGCTTTCCAATTATTACTGTGTCCAATCCCCTTAGTTCCATGAGGCGGGTGCTGTTATCAGCCCAGGTTTACAGGTGGAGGGACGGAGGCAGAGATGTTGAGACACCGACCTCAGGACACGGCTAGTTCAGAGTGGCACCGAGATGTCTGGCTTCAGAGCCCCGTGTGTAACCACAGTTGTGCTGACTCTCCAGTGACCCCCCTGGTGGTGTTGTTATTGTTCAGTGTTTCTATGGTAGATATTTGCTAATAAAAATCAAGAAATTCCTAAGTAATGAGAACTGAAGTTACCTGGCTCTCTGTCCGGAAGGATTTCTGGTAACACGAGGGCTAAGCTCCCTTCGGAGTAGGAAGTCTGATTGGACATTCAGACTCAGGGCATTTCCTGGAGCCGGGATTTCGTAAACTCACCACCCACAGCCCTGAGGCTGAGCGCGGACCAGGAGCCGGAAGACTCACTGGAAGTGCTTGTCGGAGGGATGCTCGTCGTCGGGTCTCCATGTCCTCACCGCGGAGGGCAAGACCCAGCGCTGCCCGTGGGCGCAGCCTTCCTCGCCATCTCCCTCGAACTCAGGTTTATACTCTCTCATCTTCTCCAGAAGGTTCGGATGGGAAGGGAGCTCACAGGCCCCGTAGAGTGAGGAAGCCTCTCTGAGTTAGGGTTAGGGTCGGGGGCGAGCAGAATAGGGCGAATTGGCTGCCTTCTCTCCAGTTCGCAAGCATTTCCCGACCTCCCTAGAGACTGCCTGTCGGGCGGCCATGAGGGGCCAGCAGTCCTTCCTGGAGAGGCTTCCAGGGTCTTGGTCAGAAATCCTGGGGCAGAAGGTCCATCTGGTGCTGACTCCCCAGCGTGAGAAACTGTCCTGGAGGCGGAGGATGCTCCCGCCTGAGTCTGGTCACCAGCTGCCACAGGCACGTGCTGCCTGATCCCCACCGTTCAGGGCTCAGTGCATCCCGGCCGCCCAGCGAGGGCTGCAGGAGGGAATGCAAGCAGCTGAATGGATTTGCCTCGACAGGGAGGAGCAGGGGTGGCGAGACTCCACAGTCAGACCGGGGAGGGGTCGGGTGGTGACGCGCTGTTTACTGCTGTCCACAGCCGAAGCAGCAACGAAACCACCAGCTGTTCCATTGCTCTGGGGTGTTTTTCATTTCATTTTATTTTATTTACTTTTTAATATTATAGACTGGACGGCTTAAACAACTGAAATTCATTTTCTCACAGTCTTTTTAAAAATATATATATTTTATTGATTTTTTACAGAGAGGAAGGGAGAGGGATACAGAGACACATTGATGAGAGAGAAACATCGATCAGCTGCCTCCTGCACACCTCCTACTGGGGATGTGCCCGCAACCAAGGTACATGCCCTTGACCGGAATCGAACCCAGGACCCTTCAGTCCGCAGGCCGACGCTCTATCCACTGAGCCCAACCGGCCAGGACAATTGTATTTTATTTTTAAAATGTATTTCTATTGATTTCAGATGGGCCCAGGCCTGCCTTGTGAACACGCAGCTAAGGAGGCAGCAAAGGGCGGGGTGTGGGGTGGGCCCAGGAGGGAGAACCTGGGAGACAGAGGAGGGGCCAGGCCTGGGACCAAAACCAGATGGAAGAGGAATCCCAGGAGGCAGGGCAGGGCCTCGCTCTGCCTCCTCCGTGGTCTGTCCTGTCCTCGTTCCTGCCCCCCCACCCCCCACCCCTCTCCTCTCAGCCTCCCATTGGCTGGCACGGTTCCGTGGAGGGACTCCGCATGGCAACCTGGGCTGACCTCACACTGGTGGCCCCGAGGCAGAACCAGATGCTGGGCAGGGAGCCGTGTTTCAGGGCAGACGCTGGGCTCCAGCCGGACGGCTCCTTTCACCCGCAGGATAAGAGACGGCGGTGCTGGAGGGATGGGCCAGCCTCCGCGTTCCTTCGCCTTCCTAGTTTTGTTTTTAATGGAATGGCCATTGCATGTGTGCTTGCCTGATGCAGGTGAGTTCAGACCTAGTTGGAAAAATGACAGGCCTTTTAAAAATATATATATGTATTTATTGATTTCAGAGAAGAAGGGAGAGGGAGAGAGAGAGAGAAGCAAGCATCCATGATGAGAGAGAATCATGGATCGGCCGCCTCCTGCACTTGCCCTACTGGGGATCGAGCCCGAAACCTGGGCATGTGCCCTGACCCAGAATTGAACCGCGACCTCCTGGTTCATAGGTCGACGCTCAACCAGCCGGGCTATTTTTCCATTTTAACGAGAGTGGAGGGGAGAGGGGGAGACAGAGAGAAACATCGATGTGAGTCAGACACATCTATTGGTTGCCTCCCGCATTGAGCCTGCAACCTGGGCATGTGTCCTCGACTGGAATCGAACCCGGGACCCTTCAGTCCTTGGGCCGGCGCTCGATCCACTGAGCCACACCGGCCAGGGCTCGCCTCTTGCACCTTTGTTCAGTCTGTACAAACAATGCTTCTCTCTCTGTGTGTGTGTGTGTGTTGCTTTTTGTTTCCAGGTGATAGGGAGGGTGATATACCTGAGCCGGTCCAGGACGTGGCCCCCAGCACCAGCACCTGGGACGCAGGTGGGTGGCACGGCCCCCGGCTGCCCTGTGGTGGCCTTTCCTCCCAGCACGAGGCCCCCCTGGGCCCATCAGGGCAACCCTGAGCTGTAAAGCAAGGCCGCTGTCCTGGGGTTCGGGCTACGTGGGTGGCAGGTGCTGCTGCCCTGGCAAAGCAGCCTGGCCAGTGTGGCTCAGGGACGCACATCCCCACAGAGCAAGGGGGGCAGGTGGGAGGGGAGCCCGCAGTGACCTGGGAATTCAGACTATATCTGTTCGCACAGGCTGGGCAATCTCCCCTCCTTATTTTATTTATTTTATTTAATTTTTAATTTTATTTTATATTTTAGTTTTATTTATTTATTTATTTATTTATTTATTTATTTATTTTCAGAGAGAAGGGGAGAGGGATAGAGAGTTAGAAACATCAATGAGAGAGAGACATCCATCAGCTGCCTCCTGCACACTCCCCACTGGGGATGTGCCCGCAACCCAGGTACATGCCCTTGGCTGGAATCGAACCCGGGACCCTTCAGTCAGCAGGCTGATGCTCTATCCACTGAGCCAAACCGGTCAGGGCAATTTTTTAATTTTATTTTTAATTTAATTTACTTTATTTTATTTATTTCATTTTATAAATAGTTTTTATTTTTTATTTATTTTTTTTTAAATATATTTCATTGATTTTTCTACAGAGAGGGAGAGGGATAGAGAATTAGAAACATCGATGAGAGAGAAACATCAATCAGCTGCCTCCTGCACGCCCCCCACTGGGGATGTGCCCGCAACCAAGGTACATGCCCTTGACCGGAATCGAACCTGGGACCCTTCAGTCCACAGGCTGACGCTCTATCCACTGAGCCAAACCGGTTAGGGCTATAAATAGTTTTTTATTGTTGACTAGAGGCCCGGTGCACAAAAATTTGTGCACTGGGGGGGGGGGAGGGGGGGTCCCCCAGCCCAGCCTGTGCCCTCTCGCAGTCTGGGACCCCTCGGGAGATAACGACCTGCTGGCTTAGGCCTGCTCCCGGGTGGCAGAGGGCAGGCCCAATCCCTAGGTGCAGCCCCTGGTTGGGCTCAGAGCAGGGCCGATTGGGGAGTTGGGGCGCCGCCCCCTGTCATGCACAGAGCAGGGTGGATCGGGAGGTTGCGATGCCACCCTCAGTCACGCTCAGGGTAGACTGATTGGGGGGTTGGGGCACCGCCCCCTGTCACACTCAAGGCGGGGTCAATGGGGTGGTTGCGGCGCCACCTCCTGTGATGCACAGAGCAGGGCCAATCAGGGGGTTGGGGCACTGCCCCCCCACCCCCCGTCACGCACAGAGCAGGGCCCATCAGGGGGTTGGGGAGCTCCCCCCTGTCACGCACAGAGTAGGGCTGATAGGGGAGTTAGGGCACCGCCCCCTGTCACACACACAGCAGGGCGGATCAGGGGGTTGGGGCGCCACCCTCTATCACCCACAGAGCAGGACCGATCAGGGGGTTGGGGCGCAGCCACTGTCACACTCAGGGCAGGGCCGATGGGGAGGTTATGGCTCTACCCGTCACACACGGAGCAGGGCCCATGGAGGGGGTGGGGGGTTGGGGCGCCACCCCCTGTCACACACAGAGCAGGGCCGATCAGGGGGTTGGGATGCCACACCCTGTCACACACAGAGCCGCGGGGCGATCAGGGGGTTTGGGCGCTGCACCCTGTCATGCTGATCTGGTGCCAGGAGGCCTCGCGGCTCCGCTGATCCCGATGCTGGGAGGCATATTACCCTTTTACTATATAGGATAGAGGCCTGGGGGCCGGCTGGTTTGCCCTGAAGGGTGTCTTGGATCAGGGTGGGGGTCCCCACTGGGGTACCTGGCCAGCCTGGGTGAGGGGATGATGGCTGTTTGCAGCTGGTCACACACCCTTCAGGGTGGGGGTCCCCACTGGGGTGCCTGGCCAGTCTGGGTGAGGGGCTGAGGGCTGCTTTCAGGCTGGCGGGAAGCTCCCAACCACTCCTTTTTTTCTTTTTTTTTTTCTTCTGGGCCAGCTTTAGCTCTGGCTCTAGCTCTGAGGCTTCCGCTGCTGGTTTGTTTGCCGTTCTATAATCGAAACAATGTATAACTTCAGCTCTGAGATCCCAGCCGGCTATATTTGTTAGAATGTTTCAAACTGCCAGCTCAGAGGCCGGCAAGTCAGGCGGGGAACGTTGGAGTCTGCTGTCACGGGAGCAAGCAAGCCTCACGTTCGCTTCCAGCTGCCTGGCTGCCGGCTGCCATCTTGGCTGACAGTTAATTTGCATAAGGATACGCTGATTAGCCAATGGGAAAGGTATCGGTCGTACGCCAATTACCATTTTTCTCTTTTATTAGTGTAGATGCTATTACAGATGCCTCCCATTCCCCCCCTCCTCCCAGCCCCTACCCACCCCCAGGGCTTCATCACCCTATTGGATGTGCCCATGGGCTGTGCATATAAGCATATACGTTCTTTGGTTTATCTCTTCCCGTCCCCCCACCCTCACATCAAGGTATGTTAGTCTGTTCCCTGCCTGCCTGCTTCCAGTCTTACCCTATTGGTCAATTCATGTTGTTTATTAGATTCCACAGATAAGTGAGATCATGTGACATGCCTCCGTATTTTAAAACGCTATTTTAAAAAATATATATATTTCTGCCCTGGCCGGTTTGGCTCAGTGGATAGAGCGTTGACCTGCAGACTGAAAGGTCCCGGGTTCGATTCCGGTCAAGGGCATGTACCTTGGTTGCGGGCACTTCCCCAGTGGGGAGTGTGCAGGAGGCAGCTGATCGATGTTTCTGACTCTCTATCCCTCTCCCTTCCTCTCTGTAAAAGACCAATAAAATATATTAAAAAAAATATATATATATATATATATTTCTATTGATTTCAGAGAGGAAGGGAGGAGAGGGAAACATCAACGATGAGAGAATCATTGATCAGCTGCCTCCTGCACACACCACATTGGGGATCGAGCCTGTAAACCGGGCATGTGCCCTGACCGGGAATCGAACCGTGACCTCCTGGTTCTTAGGTCGACGCTCAACCACTGAGCCACGCCGGCCGGACTAAAGTGCTGTTTTTTGATGGTATTTCTGACGGTCTCTCCCGTTCCCCTTTGTGACGACAGTATGACTAACTACTACATAACTGACAGGCACAGCGACAGTGAAATTAGTTGAGAACATCTTCTCTCTCCCTTTTAGTGTCGAGTCTGCATCGACGTGCTCTTGTTCGAGTGGTTGCCATCACGTGTGCGGCCTTGAGCGTGGCCTTGGTCTGCGGGATCGCTGTTTCCTACGTGATATAGTGAGTCCTCGCTAGTAGCATTGCCAGCCTTAAGTCAGACACACATTACCTGGCTCATTATTTGGTGGTGGTGATGCTGATGACAATTCTTTTTTTTTTTTTTTTTTTAATATATTTCTTTATTGGTCTCAGAGAGGAAGGGAGAAGGAGAGAGAGAGAGAGAGAAACATCAATGATGGGCCCTGACCGGTTTGGCTCAGGGGGTAGGGCGTCGGCCTGCAGACTGAAGGGTCCCAGGTTCGATTCCGGTCAAGGGCATGTACCTGGGTTGCGGGCACATCCCCAGTGGGGGGTGTGCAGGAGGCAGCTGATCGATGTTTCTCTCTCATCGATGTTTCCAACTCTCTATCTCTCTCCCTTCCTCTCTGTAAAAAATCAATAAAATATATTTTTAAAAAATAATATCTAAAGTGAAAATCAATAAGAATATTTCGGGGGTGGAAACAAAACTAGCCCAAATTTATTAACGTCCCCCCACCCCCCGACCCCCCAAAAAAGACACGAGGACATGTTGTGGGCGCTGCGCTCCTGAATTCACCTGTGTTACCCTCCAGTCGACTGGGACAGGATGAGGAGAGGGAACAGCTTGCCGAGCTTTATGAAAATATCCAGATGCCACTGTCAGGAGACGAAGAGGAGGCCTTCAGGGCCGGGCGCCCAGGCGAGGCTGGGGATCTGCTTTCGGGGAACGAGGAGGAGCTGGCGGAGTTCATTAATTCAGGTAGGAACCGACCCGCTCATCTGGGCAGGTCCACAGTCACAGGAAAGCTGAGCTGGCCTTGAGGGCTTGGTTTTCTTTTCTTTTTAAAAAAATTTTTTTTTTTCTTGATTTCAGAGAGGAAGGCAGAGGGAGAGAGATATAGAAACATCAATGATGAGAGAGAATCGTTGATTGGCTGCCTCCTGCACGCCCCCTACTGGGGATCGAGCTCACACCCCGTTGGTCCTGTGCCCTGACCGGGAATCGAACCCGGGACCCTTCAGTCTGCAGGCTGACGCTCTATCCACTGAGCCACACTGGCCAGGGCGATGGTTGGTTTCCAAAGGCAAAGCAAAGTGGGAATTGATGGAGTTTGAGGGAAGGAAGATGAATATCGACAGCCCCACCCACAGACACGACCGGCTCCCGTCCCGTTGTCCCCGCGGTAAACCCCTGTGTGGCTGCTTGGTTTCCTTCGCAAGGACGTTCCGAGGGTTGAAAACAGAGATTAGGAAACAGCCCTTTTCCCCGACCAGACATTTCCTTACAGGTACTGATTAGGGTGACATGACTCCCACGCTGAGACCACAGACACGCAGACGTCCCGCCTTCACCGGGGGCCTCAGCCCGACGTGAAAACGGGACCCAGGCCCCGAAGCAGAGGCCGCTACCCCAGGTTCAAAGACCCCTGTCAGCTACGCCCGTCTCGCCTGCAAGCCCCTGTGAGGAGAGGGCCACATACACATTCATAGAAGCCTGACTTGGTAGACGCTCTGACGTTCTTAGATACTTGCTTGCAAAAATTCCTAGCCCTGGCCGGTGTGGCTCAGTGGATAGAGCATCGGCCTGTGGACTGAAGGGTCCCGGGTTCGATTCCGGTCAAGGGCACATGCCCGGGTTGTGGGCTCGATCCCAGAGGGGGATGTGCAGGAGGCGGCTGATCCATGATTCTCTCTCATCACTGATGTTTCTATTTCCCTCTCCCTCTCCCTTCCTCTCTGAAATCAATAAAAATATATGTAAAAATATTCCTAGAGCATAAGTCTGTAGAGAAGGCATTATCTAGTTCAGTTTTATTAACCACACCCTGGGTGGAGCGCCTCCCTGACTGCCCTAGACACAGAGTCGGAGAGAGGCTGCCAGGCCTGAGGAGTGATAGCTGATGCTCACCAGGCAGACAGCCTTCATTAGCCTTCAGAAGATAATTTTTCAGTGTCTTTTCATTACATTGAAGTATAACTTTCCTACATTCTCTCTTTACTGGTCATTTATAAAGACAGCCAGTTTGGCTCAGTGGATAGAGCGTCGGCCTGCGGACTGAAGGGTCCCGGGTTTGATTCCGGCCAAGGGTACATGCCTAGGTTGCAGGCTCCATCCCCAGTAGGGGGAGTGCAGGAGGCCGCCAATCAATGATTCTCTGTCATCACTGATGTTTCTATCTCTCTCTCCCTCTCCCTTCCTCTCTAAAGTTAATTAAAAAAAAAAAAAATATATATATATATATATATACATATATACATGTAAATATATACATATACATATATATATATATATATACATATATACCTATATGTATATATATATATGTAAAGACTGAGTACAAACTCACAGACCCAGACAACGGTTATGTTGGTTACCAGTCAGGAAAGGGGCTGGGGGGAAGTAGAAGAGGGTATAGGGGGGGTCAGTGGTGATGGGAGGAGACTTGATGTGGGGTGGTCAGCACATAATACAATATAGTATAGATGACGTATTATAGAAACATATGCCTGAAACCTATATAATTGTGCTAACTAATGTTTCCCCACTAAATTCAATGGAAAAAAAAATAATGCTTGAATACGGAAAATGGGACAATAATTTAAACTTTCAAATTTTCATGGTCCTCATCAAATCACATGTGTTATGTCCTAAAAATCCCACTATTCCCACCTTTATTTTTCTATCCTTTTTCCATCGGCCCTCTTTCTTCCTTTCTATTCCTCCGTTATTTGTAACTTAACAGCCCTATGTCTATATTTTAGCTATTAGATCAAAAAGAAGACAGCATCTTGAAGGAGCGGGATTGGAGAGCGTGCAAAAGCAGTAGAGGAAGCACAGCATGGAATGCTGGGCCCCTTGCAAACGTGGGAAACCCGTGGAAGCCAGTGAGAGAGCCGCAGGCCGCGCGACCCCGTGTGGGGAACACACGGTGGGACGTCAACCTGAGGACATGCGAACCCCCAGGGAAGAAAACTAGAAATACATCACACAAAATAAACCCAGAACATAGTCATCCTCGCCTCTTAGCTCTCATGGTTCACAAATAATTATAGTGTAACAGGAAAGAGGAAAATCCAACTTCGTAAGTATGAACGAGAAATTGTCTGCATTTTCTTTCCTTGCTCCTCACCAGAAATACAAGGAGTTTCTTTGGGGAACCTCCCAGACCATGCTGGGGAGCCCCCCACTTTCACTAAACCGTACTTTCCCACTGATACCTGTCAGTTCCAGTAGCTTGTCTTCGTTTACAAGAGGAGCCTGAGAATGTCAACCGGGTACCAGAGTAAGGAGTCGAGGGTGGGGGGGTGGGGGAGGTCGGGGAGGACCCAATTCCTTGTGGGTTGTTTTATTTATTTATTTTTTAAATCTATTTTATTGATTTTTTTACAGAGAGGAAGGGAGAGGGATAGAGAGTTAGAAACATCGATGGGAGAGAAACATGGATCAGCTGCCTCTTGCACGCCCCCCACTGGGGATGTGCCAGCAACCAAGGTACATGCCCTTGACTGGAATCGAACCTGGGACCCTTCAGTCCACAGGCCGACGCTCTATCCACTGAGCCAAACTGGTCAGGGCAGGTTATTTTATTTTTGTTAAATCCTTATCTGAGGATATTTTTCCATCGAGCCAAACCAGCTAGGGCCAAAATTGTTACTTTCTATAATTTGACTGGAATCGAACCCGGGACCCTTCAGTCCGCAGGTAGACGCTCTGTCCTCTGAGCCAAACCGGTCGGGGCTGACACGTGAGTGTGTGACCACCAAAGGAGGCTTCATTGTTCAAGCTCCTGGGAGTTTGAATTCTGTGAACTGCACCTGGTGGTTTGGAAACAAGTGTGTCCTGCTGACATGAAGAAGTGACCAGCTCCTCAGAGGGGATAGCGTGACGGCTCAGAGGACACGGCTGCCGCTCCAGGTCTGGCCTCGACTCTGTGGCCGCCCAAGGCCTAATGTGTAGCCCGAACCCCATGATCTCGTGTGGGTTGAGGCATCAACCTGTGGAGGGGGCGGTGGTGGTGACAACCTGTGGTGTTTCAGGAGCAACATGACACTGTTCTCGTCACCATGGCTGCTGCCTCGTGCTCAGCCCTAGTGAGGGAAACCTGTTACCCTGGTCCTGCAGAGGAGCCAGGGCCCCAGGGCTCAGCGTTCCTGGGGGGAGTGTCCTTGTAAGATTATAGGGGGATGCCTAGCCGGTTTGGCTCAGTGGATAGAGCGTCGGCCTGCGGACTGAGGGGTCCCGGGTTCGATTCCGGTCAAGGGCATGTACCTTGGTTGCGGGCACATCCCCAGTGGGGGGTGTGCAGGAGGCAGCTGGTCGATGTTTCTCTCTCATCGATGTTTCTGACTCTCTATCCCTCTTCCTTCCTCTCTGTAAAAAATACATATTTTTAAAAATGGATATGATCCCAGACTGTTCAAATTCGGACTTATCATAGCATCATTTTACTTCAAATCCATACTAATATTTTGCTTATTAATAGTAAGTTATTAAGTAACAACAAGTGAGTAATTGGGGTTTAAAGTTTAGGGAGCATCAGACTTGAAAAAGTGCAAGTTGGCAACCATAAATGTACTAACAAATAAAAATGATTTCTGGGAGGAAACAGTAGTCACTCCTGTATTACAGAGAATGGGAAGTGGAATATGAAAATGAGGAAATAGCAATCACTGTATATGCACAGGTGCACAAATCTACACCCCATTTTCTAAACAAAAGGAACAGGCTTTGTGATACATACCGAAAAAGTTAAAAGTATACCCACTTACCTCACATCCTCTTCCAGTCTGCCCTCTTCCCTTCACCATTTATTTTATTTTATTTTATTTACCATTTATTTTTTTAAAAACTTTTTAAATTGATTTCACAGAGGAAGGGAGAGAGACATCCATGATGAGAATCATCAATCTGCTGTCTCCTGCGCGCCCCCTACTGGGGATGGACCCCGAAACCGGGGCATGTGCTGGCGCCTGGAATCGAACCCGGGACCCTTCAGTCCGTAGGCCGACGCTCTATCCATTCAGCCACACCCTGGGGTCCCTCACCATTCCTGATCATTCCTCAGGCTGGCCCATTCTCTCATCCCAGCCTGAACACATTCCTTCTGGTGCTGCGGGCTCTGGGAACTACATTACCCAGAAGACCGTGCGCGAGAGACCGGATGATGAGCCAATGGCGGCTCAGGGACGAGGCACTTCCGGTCTGCGGATCCCGCCAAGGCGGGACTTCCGTCCTCTTCCCTTGGCGGTCACTCGGGTGCTCACCGGCCTTTTCACCGCGTCGGAGGCTTGCGGGTCGGTGGGCCCGGGACGACGCGCTGGAACCTGCAGGCGCCAGAGGCCCGGTTTTCGCCGCGCGGACGCGGGGGTGAGCCCGGCGGCTCCACCGGGGACCCGCGGGGACGGGGACCGACAGCCGGGCCGCCCCCGCTCGCTCCGCCCGCAGTC